GTGCACCACGTGGAGGTAAGTCTATCGCACACCCCAATATTATTAAAGTCGTTTATTGAAAAGTAAACAATGAGTGGTCTTTTACTAGTTTATGAACCAAAACAAATATTGATTTTTTGTGGATTTATTTAACAAGATAATTAAAATATATTAGAGCTTTATTAAATAAGCTATAAAATGGAGTATTTCTGCTTTAATCAATTTTAGCTTTAAGCGTCTTGCTTAATGATGCTGTTTCAATTTTTCTCCCATAGATATTTAACAAGACGTCGGCGTATAGAAATTGCCCATTCTCTATCCTTAACCGAACGCCAGATTAAGATATGGTTCCAGGTGAGTTTGCCTGTTCATTGACAATCTATGCAAATGTCTTATTCATGTGACTTTGATGTCTTATCATAATGCTGGTCTAGACTGACTCGTCACTACAACTACGACCATACTAGCACACTATTGTTAATTGATTTGTATCATCACAAAATTAACTGTTTTTTTATTTGTGGATTAGAACCGCCGAATGAAATGGAAAAAGGAACATAATATTGCAAAACTAAATGGACCAGGAACATTGGAACAGTTGGAAATGATGGAACAGGCAGCTAACGCCTCAGCAAGCTCCGTAGATCGGTCCCAGCCACTGTACCTTGGTTCACCATCGCACAAACCTCGGGGTTCTCATCATTTCGACTCGGATTCAAGATCAGTCGAGACACCAAGTGACTCTGGTGCAACTTCACAAGCCATCTCTGATGTTCCTGTTTACCAACGTCCAGATATACCGATTAACTGTCATTCACTTGTAAACTCCTCCAATGATGGAGAGGAATTCAATGAGAATCCTTGTGGAGAAGTCTACGATATGCGTCAGGTTAAGAAGTTCAAACATCCATCCGAGTCTCCACTTGATCTTCATCCTCAGGATTATCCCCAAAGCAAACTCCCACCTCCACATCCATACCAAAGTGGCAATCCTTCCGAACCTTATGGACAACATGAAGCGGAGAAACCGATGTGATAGCCTAACTTGATTATAATGTTATCTTAACACGTGCGTTTACATGCGCCTGTATACACACTAATCTACCAAATCAACGAACGAAAGGTTATTCTTACCCAAACAAATCCATTTTCCTGCTTGACACATATATCTGTGTTCTATTTTCCCATCCCTCAATACCCAATAGTTTGAACTTATATAATGGACCCAGCTTTTAGCATTTATTCAATTCCACCTGCCCGTTATCAATCTAGTCATTGCTCTCTTCGACACAGACATTTCTTTTCCCTATCAAACTTCTTCTTCGCATGCAAGCAAATCACTCGTCCAGTTATCGCATTCTTCAACACCACACACATGTGACCTTCAAGTCGGCCAATTGGGTCTGCGCAACTCTGAATGATTTGAAAGGATTTTTCTTAAGTTGGGAAATGAAGAAACGCTGACACGGCACCTCGGCTGCCATATTCTCCTTATCCCACAATCCCACCGCGATGCATGACTGCACAATATATTAAAACAAGAGGAAACTGTGTTTTTGATTACCCTGCCAAATGCACAACCCTTTTAAATGCAACAATACCAAAGAATACTTTTCGATATCAATATCGTTTTGATCATGATTTTTTGTCCTTTGTAATTCACATTTTACGAAACAATTATTTATTAATGCGACTTGGGCGGAATAAAGCTGCTAGTAAAGTTTTAATAGGGTTTAAGGGGATTCACGAAATGAAAAACAAAAGAAGATTCGAGAATTTTAGAGAGATCTACTCCATTCTAACCCCGAGTTCACTCGCCCTATTTATGGATATGGCTCGTAGGTATCTGATTGAATACTATCGGGGTTTTCCGAAAATCCGCCCAGGGCGGTTAAACGGAAAATACCTTTTCCATGAAAATTTTTGAGGGCCAAATAAACACCCACCCTAATAGGCTCTTATGGGTAGAGTCAAGCCTCACTCTCAAATACAGAAAAGCGATAGGATAGTGCTTAAACTTTTAGCCCCGAATAGGCGCTCGTGGTCCCTTATTGGGATGGGCGGACTTTCGGAAAACCCCTGTAATTATTTTAACATGAAGAGCGAATTGACCCATTGACTAATTCAAGGGATTGATCACATCCAGCTCAGTATACGTTCTATTTTATTGGCCAATAAAAATTTGTCGAAATACTATAGTTATTAGAGTTGCGGGGTCCAAAATAAGAAGATTTCCAATAGAAAAGGAAGATTTCTCCTGGAATCAAGCCGTGACTTGTATCTATATGTTCCGAGGTCTTTCAGAATAAAAAATTTGGAAGCAAGTAATTTGCTTTAATTCACCTGAGTGCAAGTTTGAACCGAATCCATTTCTCAGTGAGAAGGTTCTCTATCAAATTCCTGTTGAAACTTATTTCATAAAATGTAAGCCACATTTTGCACCAACATGGATTAATAATTAATGAAGGGTCCTTCTGTTCACCTTGTTAGAAACGTTTGTCCTTTGTTTTAAACAAGCTTCAGATTTTACCGTCAGGGCTTTCAAAAATAGGAATTATAGCTGAGTTGATGTTAAACATGAAGTATATTAATGTTCAATGACTCACATGCCTTCATAAAATACTTCTAATTCTAAAATAATAAAACATTTATGACCTCAGTTGGATAAAATATGTTCCTGCTTCTCATTTCAAATGTAATTCAAGAGCTGTCATTACTACCAGTGGTTATGACAATGCCCAAAGAGTAGCTACACAAGAAATAGCAAACTAGCTCAATCAGTGATGAAGGAAAGGAATAAAATTTTGATAACCAGTTATTTCCATTTTTCAAATTTTATTTAATTTAATGATTTCTTTTCAGATGCATATTTTCACGAAAAAAAATTATAAATTTAAGCATTTTTTCCGAACTCCTGGGGAAATTCTTCTCCACGACTCACCTCCACGTGGTGCACCCTGGGCAACGTATACTCATACGGAAAAAAATCTTTTTACTGGCAGTTGACTTCTGACTACTCAAACGGCAAAAAAGTCTATAAACCGGCAGTTGACTTCTGACTGAAAATCTTTTTACTGGCAGTTGACTTCTGAATTCAAACTACCACGACCCCCTGGTTGTCATATTCGACCACTTTCGCAGTACTCACTTTACCTTTTCTCTACCTTTGCATCCCTTTGTCTCTTTTACATCTCTGAATCGGTCTTCTGTTCCCCACCTCTCGACTTTCTGTTATTTTGATGTTCCTTCTCCTCTTGTGAAACCCGAAGTCAGCGAAAGAGCTAATGCTAATTATCAAGAAAGCCTGCCATTTGAAAAAAAATTCAACCCACAGTTTTCGTCGATAAGGTCAACTAATATTATCGAGGGTTAAATAAAAAAATATACTGCTCTGGGAGTTCTGTTAACTGGGCGATTTCAAGATGGCTTAAATGGTACGAATTCTGATAAGCATCAACGAAAGCTCTCTTCTGGCATCAAACATATTGAAGCAAGAGTTTGAGCCATGTAACCCCTAATACTTTTTATGTCCATTTTGTAACTCAGTACAGCAGTCACCCAACTGTCCACCACTCCTCAAGTCACGAACAAATATCGCGAATTTAAATCCAAGCAGCGTATACTCATACCGCAAAAAGTCTATTAACCGGCAGTTGACTTCTCACTTCAAGCTACCATGACCCCATTGTATGCCACATTCCGCCACTTCCACAGTACTCGCCTTACCCTACTCTCGACCTTTGTGTCTGTCTCTTTTATAACTTTTAATCACTCTTCTGTTTCCCCTCCCTCCCGAATTCTTCTCACTTTGATATTCCTCCTCCC